CACGGGTCGGCACTAGAGCTTTTTCGATATGTTACGAATGTCTTAAATCTCATCATCCGCAATGAATTCGCATAGATGAGGAAAAATGAAGCTCTTAAGGGGAAATTAGTGACAATCAACCCCAAACACCTTGAATTCGATCTCCTAGTGAAGATGTCATGAGAGGCAATGGCAGATTTTTCATCCGCCCCACTCCAATATGGTCATATGACCATAATAGGCAAGGGAACCAGACCTGAAACATCTTGGCCCGGCACCATGAAGGTGGGAGAATCCAGACGATCATCAGAGTAGGCCATTTCTGGGCCACCTCCAAGTTTCGGATATGATTGTTTCACTTTCGTCACAATGGTATCATAATCCATTGTTCAGCAAAGTAGCATGACAACAGTGTAAAAGGCTTCTTACACATGTGAGGGCATGGCCACCAACAACTCCAGAATCATCTCACATCTTACTAGCTCCAGAAACGACCTGGGAAGCGGGATCTCCGAGAATGGCCTGAGGTGCAGCTCCACCAACACCATCTCCAATTGGAGGGCCCAATCAATCATCAAAGAAGTTTTTTCACATTTTGAGAATATCTTTATGTTGTCGGCATCAGTGCCAACGAGATACAAAAAGGGGAAATGAGTGTGATTCCTACCACAAGGATTGATTCACTAAAGTTTCCAAAGCCAACTTCACACCCTCAATCAGGTCCCGAACATCCTGGAGGGCAATTTGAGGTAGCTCCATAACCACGGCCTCTCATCAATCCTCAAGCGATTGAGGGGGTTGTCTGGCGCTTGTATGGAGACCTCATTCGGTTGCCAGCGAGGCCCAATTACCTAAGGTCATTTCCGGATCAAATATTAAACAATCATCCTCTCCACCGGAACGTCCAAATTCCATAATTCACACTTTTTTCTTGGAGGATTCTCTCAAAACCATTGAGCATATCAGCTAGTTCATGGTGCAATGTGGAGGAGAATTCAAAAATATTTGTTGGTACAAACTTTAGTTATTTTCATTGTCCCTGACTAGATCATCTTTGACGTGGTATGCCTCATTATCTTCAAATTTGTTCAAGATGTGGGAAGATCTAGAAATAGCATTCCATGAACGATTTTACAGCCGAATTTCAGATATCAAAGCCTTGCACATCACCAATTTGCACTAGAAGAATGGAAAATCCGTTAAACAGGTCCTCGAATATTTTTTTAGGGTCGAGGGTCGATTCCAAGTGCGCATACAACATGAACCAGAAACTTCGGGAGAAGCTAGCGCTCCAGGAGTACCGGGACTTTCAACAACTAATTTCGAAAGCTATCAAGGCAGAGCAACTCCTGGATGCTCAGACACCCTGGGACCGAAAACATCAAAACGGAGCTCATCATTCATATTCACAAGAATGCATATCCGAAAAAAACGTATATGCGACCCCCTTGATCAAAAACCTAAATCGAAATGTGGATAACTATTCTCTGCTTCGATCAATACCAAAGGAGTTCGCTCGGCGAAAGCCTACGGATCAGCTTCCGGTTTCAACGGAAATAAAAAGAATCTTGTCCCGAGGAAGATGAAGTTCAAGAGAGGCGAAAGGTCGGTTAAACCTATGAGGAGCTCAATGTGGAATAGGTTGTCACCTAATGACACAGTGGTAGATCTCAACTTTGAAAAATATGGAAAAGTATGGCAAGTGACCTTCATGGACCAAGTGATTGTTACACCACACTCGACACGCTGCTCTGAACAGTCCCTGAGGATCGGAGCTAGATTAGTAACCAGAGGATGAACAAAACCAGTTCTCTCACTTGAATGCAAATGCAGAGTAGACAACGTCAGCACCAGACAACTAGGTATGGTCGTTGGGAGCTAGAGCAGTAGGATAAAAAATTCTAGACAGGCTACATGCGGGATAAAATTAATTTTCGGCACTGGGTCGGACGCGTAAAAAATGGAGGCCAAAGCTAGTAATTCTGAATGACAAAGCTTCTCCCAAACAACAATCCCCTTCCAGAGGATTTTACAGCTTCAGCTCCGGGGGACGAACTTAAGATTGGGGTTCTTGATAATGAGGGAACTTCAGAGGCCAGTCTCGATATCATAGTCTATGATCAAGACTTAGAGCGAGCCTTACAATGCGAAATTGACTTCAAGGTCGATGCGTTTGGATTTTTGCCAAGAAAATGCGAGATCCTTCAACCCCAACCACCGTGCTTTCTAGGGAGAAAATATGACCCTAGAACTACCCGGATCGATTCTTTGCTGAATTAAAAATAAAAAATAAAAAAGAAGTTTCACGAAGTTGGAGGAACCAGTTCCATGCATATGAAACTGTCATAATGAAAGTGTCATGTAAAGCTCAAACAAAATTATCGCCGAAATCTTATACAAAAATATTGGACTTCAAAATTTGACATTTCATACGAACTTGTTGGCTAAACATTTTTGTGGGGGGCATTTGTTATCCAAAGTGTTGTTGTGATAGTTTTAATATATAAAAACTATTTTATCCTTACGATGTATAAGATTAATATGAGAATATTGATATAAATAAGTATAAATATGAAAATATTTTTATTGTGTAGTATGATCTACACATAGTAGAAAAGAAATTTTTATTTTATGTTTAGACAACAAAAAATGACAAAATATATACTTACTAAGTAGAACTGTTAACGAGCCGAGCCAAATATAATTTTAAGTGTTCATGTTCAATCGTTAACGTTCGTGAACAAGATTCGTGTTCGTTAGTTAAGCTTTCGAGCTCGTTGGCATTGTTTGAGCTCGGCTCGTTAAAAATATTTATTGTTTGAGCTTGTGTTCGTGACGGCTCGATGAGGCTTGATTGAGCTCGTTCGAGAGCGTTTGTCTCACTTTTTAAAATTTATATATAAATTAAAATGAAAATTTGAAATTATTTTATTTATTTATAAATTATAATTATATATAATATTTATAATAAATATATTATTTTAACGAATGTTCGCGAACAAAGTTCGGGTTTGTTCGTTAAATAAACGAGCATGTTTATGATGTTCGGGTCAACTTGTTAACGTTCGCGAACGAGCTTTAACCGAGCTGAATTGAGCTGAAGCGAGCCGAGTTTACGAACGGCTCAGTTCTTTTAATAACTCTATTACTAAGTTAACAAATATAGTATATTATATTGAATTATTATTTTTTATGAGTTAATAAAATATACTTATATTGTGACTATATATCCATATACTTGATAAAACGTATCATAATATATATATATATATATCCATATATATTATTTATTTATTTTTTATTATATATGATTTTATTTTTAAAAAAGTAATATATTTATTGAGGTATATATTATTTTAAACCATCTATTACATATTTTAAATTTATTTTAATCAAATACATTATATTATATCTACACCATCAACTAACAAAGTTGACAACCAAAAAGATGCTAATTACAACATTGTACAAATATTTCCTTATCTAATTTCTTAGCCCAATAATTATATATATATATATATATATAATGTTACATTTATTTGGAAATAACTCTCAGAATAATAATTCTTTCTATTCGACATCCATTCGGGTCGGGTGCTGATTCTATATCATATGAAAGTATAAAAAACAATACATGTATAAAATATTAATTTGTATTGTTAATTTTATATTCACTACAAGAAAAAATCATTTTTGTAACAAAATTTTTTTGTCTTTAAATCTATTTTTTCCGTTACTAATGACATTAGAGACGGAATTAGTAATAGAATTACGTTAGCTACGTGAACTTTAGGGACGAAATTTCGTTACAAATATATTATTTTTTTGTAGTGTATTTTGTGTTTTGAAAATTTATATCTAATGTGCTGTAGCACTGTATTGAAATATTCATCAAATTACTTTGTAATATTCATTGGTGGGCTACAGCCAACGAATTTTTTCTTTTCCCTTCCCTGCCGTATAATTGCAATGACTTAAAATTTTATATTCGTTATACTTTAATATTAATTTAAAATAATAGAAAAAATAATACTGTATTTTATTGATAACGTAAATAGTGGTAATTTGAGTTCTAAATCACAACCAAACCATCCCTATATTTCTATACAATTTATACAAATAGAATATTCTGTGATACATATATATATATATATATACTATTTAGTTACACGTTCAATGATATAAATATAAAGTGATTGAAATAAAGACAAAATAAATGGCTTTTTATCTCACGTGCTTAGTATATATTTGTAGCAATTTAATTTAACGATAAATTAAAAAAGATGTTCCAAAAATATAGAATATACAAAAGTTGTTAACCATTAAAATGTATTTTGATTAAAGGAGCAGCTTTCTTTGAAAATTTACGAAAGATATGTTGTAAGCATGCAACGCCACTTTCTTTAATCCACCATCACGAGGGTGTTTTTGTCTGCCGACTTAGATTTTTTAGTTTGAATTTTTTAATATTAAATATATATTAAAAAATTATATTATTCATTCTCTCGTAAGGATCACATTTATCTTTTACTTAAAATATTTTTGCAATTTTTTCTTAATTTATACTATATTATGATATAATATTTACTATTTAACTATTAACACGCAAAAAGTAAATTAAACCCTTAGAGCCGGGAAAACACTACAAAAAAATAGCCATTTGTAGCGAAATCGCATCCGCTACAATTTTTTCGTTACAAAAGGTATTTTTTGTTCCGGTTATTACCGTAACAAATTGTGTTTTCGATTTGGTCAACCTTTTTCCTTTTGTTGCCGTATTGTTTCGTTACAACTACAAAATAATTTTATTTTAAATTTCAAACTAAATCTAAAATAATATATCATATTTAGAGAAGATATATCTCATATATAATACATACATAATACTTATACTTATATATTAATCTATACAAATTAAAATAATTATTTATTTAAAAAATAAAATTACTATATACAATTAAAAAATATAAATGAAATAAAATATTCAACTTTACCATTGCATAACCCTAATCGTCGCAGCCCCCATTTTCCTCTGATTTTTCTTTTTGTTCCTTTTCTTCTCTGTTCTTCTCTACGTTCTTCTTCGTCTTGCGTCTTCGTCTTGCGTCTTCATCTTCTTCATTCTTCTAGCGTCTTCGTCTTCTTTTTCTTCGTCTTCCTATATCACCTTCCTCAGCCGTCCAGCGTGCTCCGCCGCACCCTTCATCAACCCGTCGATCGCGCTTCGCCGCTGCCCACCGATGTCCTCAAACGCCAACCCTAATTTTTCCCGTAAGTTTGAATTTGTTTATTTTTGTATTTTTTGACTAGTTAGGCTTTTATTTTTTTAAAATTTTGTTCATAGTGTTAGATTTAGGGCTGATTTCCTCTATTTACGGTAAACTAAAAGCTTATTTATTAGATATTTTTAATAATTTTTATAAAAATATTTTAAAATCTATTTAGTCCAAAAATTAAAAAAATAAGTAAATGCGAAACCAAACTTACTAGTATTTTCTAAAATTAATAGGCACAGCCAGTATGAAATTCTAATTTTAATACAAAACCAAACATACTAGTTATGTTATTATTGTTAGTTTGCTAATTGTTTTCTTCAATAAATGCTTGTTCTTTTTGTTTGAAATCATAATTTTAATATGTTCTTGAATGTGAAGAATTAGGGATAGGAGAACCAAGCTTGAGCCAAATAGGTGTATATTGTGGATGCTAGCGATATTGCATTTCAAGTGGTTTTATTAAGTTTCTTAATTAAGTATGTATAGGTGGCATGCTATTTGTGTTTTGTTTGGGGGCGTAGACACTTGAAGACAACATTTGACTTAATATTTAGAGAAATTTTCTCATAAATTTGCTTCTTCAATACTTTATACAATATTTAGCTTGCATTGATCGAACAACCACACTTACGGTAGACAAACAACTATCTAATGCTTTATAGTTGGTCAAACTATTCATCGTCACTTATCATGGACTTCTTTATATTTTTAGGGTGTGTTTGTTTAGGGGTTTGGATTTTGAGTTAGGATTTGAATAGTAAAAATTTTGAATTTGAATAGTTATATGATGTGATATAAATGGGTGTTGATGTGATGTTTTGAATGTAAAATTGATTTTTAGTATAATATAAAAAATGAAAAATAGATGTTTGATTTGATGTTTTTGGGGAAAAAAAATTGAATGAATAGTGGATTTAAAATCCAATCCCTCAAACAAACACACCCTAATGAATTGTCCCCTTGACATTATCATGAAAATAAGAAGTATATGCACAATGAATGTAAGAAGTATATGCACAATGATTTGATGCGAAAATGAATCTAAGACTTTTGGACATAATTGTTGAACATACATTCTTTGGCAAATTTTTTAATATTACTTTGTAATTTTGTTGATAAAACTGAATATGATACCAAAACTAAAACTGAATATGATACTAATATCTTGTAATTTTGTCATTTTTGAATAATATTTTGTAATTTGGGGACCACTTCCAAATGTAAATTCAACTGCTACCATATAAATTGTTTTCTTCTCCAAACCTTCTAGAAGCTTTTGTATATATGTATATATATATATGTGTAAGAAGATAGTGGTGCATTCTGCTGCAGTTCATGTTCTATGCTGATAAAGCACAACAACTACCAAAAGTCCAGTCTAAATATACTATCATCATTGATATGTATACATTGTTTGTGTTTTTTCTGTTACTCGTTATTGCTTTTATAAAGTGTTATGATGATTCTTCGATCTACTCATATGCATTATAGATGACATGAGGCGTCTTGAAATTGAATAGGTGTGTGATACCCGCCATTGAGGGACAACGTACTTTTGGGCAGAAATCTAAGCGTCGATCCAAGCTTGCTGCATAATAGTAAGTTATCCATGCATCCATAGTATATCACATTACTTGTATACTGATGGCTGAAAATGTGCGTGTGTGTTACACAATTCACAGGGAATTTATATTTGTAAATCAGTGAGTGGAAGTTTATAGAAAACGATCAGATATAGTAATTTTTGTGGTTGTAGACCCTAAGTAGTCATCACAATTATTTATACTCTTTTTACTGGTGAGTTTCTAGGTCGAATACAAGGATTTTAAGTCATGAATTTCAACGGAGAAAATCTTGAAATAGCGATGAAAATATGCAGGAAGGGATCCGCATGCAGCGGATCCAAAAGCTAGGATATATAAAGCGGTAAGTAAAGCGATAAAAAATGGAGTGAGCGGAAGTGAGCGAAGCGAGGGTGACAGCAGTTAAGCAGGTCGACAAGCAGTACTTAACTACATTGAACTACCTTGAGACCGCTTTTGGCGCATAACAAGGCTCAATAATCAATTCTTCTCTAGCTCTAAACCAGTGAAATGGAATTCTCTAAATTCAAACTTTATATAAGTGTGTAAAAATGGTGGAAGAATTGAGGATGAAGAACTGAATGATATTTCATTATCTACTATGAAAGCATGAAAAGACTAAAGCTACAAAGCTGTAAACTAAAGCAGTAATCTAATCTAAGAAAGTTGTAAAGACTTGGCCAAGGGAGAAGGAAAACTCCTACTCCCTTGGCCATTCCTGTGGAGAACTCCCTTATAGGGTTGGAGCTTTCGAAAATAGGAAGACGATTGGCTTGAGAAGTACTTGCTAAGAGTGTTTTTAATCGAAGTATCGATCTCTTTACATAAAGATATCTGGCCCTATTTATAGCAGGTGAAATGGGACAGTTGCAATCAGTTGTTGGGCGGTTCCAACCGCTGGGCAGTTAGGCGGTTACTGGTAGTTATTCTGTTGAAGCAGTTGTTGGCCATAACTCGCGCTTGCTTTGATTGCACTGAACTGTAAGGGCGCAAATCTTCCTCACTTGCTGAAGAGCTGGAGGGCATCAGCGCAGCTAGGCTCGCTTGTGCTGGCTGGAAATGGAATGGTTGTACCGCTGCAGTTGGAACACTTAGTTGGAATCTGGTGATAATCTGCAGCGGTGGGTGTCTGGGCTGTCGCTTGCAAACGGGAGAGGTTGTCGCTTGCGGGTGGTGAAGGCTGCCGCTTGCCTCTCATGCCTTAATATTTTCCAGGACATATTTTGGGCGCTTGCGAGCAGAGGTGGCTATCGTTTGTGACGTCTGCCTTAGCTTTGATCAAAAACAGACTACCGCTTAACAAGGCAAAAATCGTTAACAATCTCAACAACGAATTCTGGATCATGCCAAGCGATATATATCAATAATGTATGCCATTAATGAGTTATTGTGATGGTTTTTATACAGAAATTCGAGTAATACACAGTTTTGTCAAGCTAAGAATATGCTCCTATTTGGAGTTATCATATAGTTTTTATGATATGAACATTCGAATTATAGTACTGATATTCATATTTTTAGTTCAATACTACTATTTTCGGTGGTTATATAAGCCGAGGCAGGTTAGTATTAAGATTCAACCTGAAATAAGTTATGTTAGGGTCTGAAAATTATTTACATGGCACGCTATTAAAGTGGTACTTATATCTTGATCCACAATACAACATGTGTTTAATTTAGTGCATACGATTTATGTTAATGGGATTATTAAAATTCTTCAAACTTTTTCTTTCTTAGATGACAAGAGTTGGATTGACGAATCGAACCATACTTCGTCTATTTATTTGGATGGTGTGATACAATTCTTAAACTATGCTTTTCATGGGAGGGACATAAACTCGGTTGTATATTGCCCATGTAGGACTTGTTTAAACTATGCCACTAGTACTCGTAGAAAGATATTGCTTCATTGCATTAGGTACGGGTTTGACCCGTTTTACAGGGTGTGAACTAGCCATGGTGAAGTTATGGGTGAAACATCAACTAGCACGGAAGACAGGCTTAGGTGAACACTGTGGGAAGATGACCTAGATATACTAATGCGCGATTATGATATGCCTGACCACCTAGGTGAAGGGATCAATGAAGGCAACACTGCGACCGATGTAGGTGACAACCATAGAGATGACAACAATAGTGGGTGGAGGCAAATGCTTGAAGACGTGCAAAATGATCTTATCCCAGGGTGTAAGAAGATTAGCAGGCTTTCATTATTGCACGTCTCTTGCATTTGAAGGTTCTATGTCAATGGTCTAACCACTCGATCGACCTACTATTAGAGCTGTTGCGGGATGCCCTACCAGATGTTGTGATCTTGCCGAAGAATTACTACGAGGGAAACAAAATAACAAAGAAGTTGGGGTTCAATTATAAGAGTATAGATGAATGCATTAATAAATGTATGTTGTTCACGGGAGATGATGTAGAACTCAAATCTTGTGTGATTTGTGGGGCTAGTAGGTTCGTTGACGGCAGCCCCACTAAGGCAGCAAAAAAGATGAGGTACTTTCCCTTAGTGCCCCGTTTACAGATATGGTTTTTATCTTCGAAAACTGCAGCTTCCATGTGCTGACATGCTGAAGGCCGTGTCAACGATGGACTGTTACGCCATCCGGCTGATAGTGCAACATGGAAGAACTTCAATCGTTGTCACCCGTCATTTGCCAGTGACATACGCAATGTACGTCTAGGGTTGGCCACTGATGGGTTTAATCTTTTCGGAAATATGAGTGTGAGCTACAACATTTGGCCAGTAGTTCTTGTCATTTACAATATACCACCATGGTTATGTATGAAACAACCATCATTCATCCTATCTATAATTATCGATGGTCTGAAGGGACCCGGGGATTGCATTGATGTTTTTCTTCAGCCTCTGGTTGCTGAGTTGAAAGAATTATGGAGTACGAGGGTTAGAACATATGATGCAGTAAGTCAGGAAAATTTTCAAATGCGGGCCGCTTTAATGTGGACCATTAGTGACTTCCCAAGGTATGCCATGTTATCTGGCTGGCCAACACGGGGGGCAAACGCATGCCTTAATTGCGGTATGAGAACACATTCGGCATACTTGAAAAATGGTCATAAATTCTGCTATTGTGGACACCGGCGATACCTACCTGACGGTCACAGAATGCGTTTGGATCGACAGTCCTTCGATGGAACGATTGACTTTGCAGCACCTACGACACGCATAACTTGTACAGAACTGGTAGAACAAATACGCGATGTGCCAACTACATATGTGAAAGATGATTTGATTGCACAACACTTGGTACATCAATCTAGAAAGCGGCGCCGCTATGAGCATGAAGAAGTGTTAGGGTGGAAAAAGAAGAGCATATTCTTTGAATTACCATACTGGGTTGAGAATGATATACGACACAACCTTGATGTGATGCACATTGAAAAAAATGTTTTTGAGAATGTCCTTCACACTTTGCTAGGCACAAAGGGCAAAACAAAGGACAACCTTAATACAAGAAAGGATTTACAGTTGTTGACTATAAGAACTTCTTTGCATCCTATTCCGAGACCGAATGGTGGTTTTTATTTACCTGCAGCCGCTTACACCATGAGTTCCTCTTAAAAGAAAATATTTCTATCGGTCTTGAAAACTCTAAGACCCCCCGATGGTTTCAGTAGCAATTTATCCCGTAGGGTGAGAGTGGAGCAACTAAGCATTTGGGGATTGAAGAGCCACGATTGTCATGCTCTAATGCAGAAGATTCTTGCTATTTCCCTCCGCCGGTACACTTTGTATTTTTTTATTGTAATACCCCGATTTTGGAGTATATAAAATAATATTATTATAGCAAATAAATATTTTTATAATATTTTGGGATCAAGAAATTAATATTTTGGACTAAATTTTATTCTTATTTTATATATTGATTATGATTGAAAAGACTGTTAAACGAATAAATATCGTTAAAGATAAATATAAAATATAATTGTTGATACAATTTTTCAACAATAAAAAGTAAAATCTGAAAATAGGAAATTATCTTCGAATTTGATATAATTAGTGCCTGAGATTAGGAATCTCTAAACACTGTAGGGTACATAAATAAAATAGGAAAAATAAAACTACAGACTGGAAAATAAAGTGGTGATCCCCAAAGGCAATTCTTTTGAATTTGATGTCGATTGAAGATCATTTGTCAGAGCAGACCCGAATCCTTAAATAACCCCTTAAAGAAACGGTTTGAACCGCCGTCTGGTCAGTTACAACAACCGTTGTCAACCGCCCACCAGGTTCTCCTCTGTTGACACGTGTGTTAACCGACTCACCAACCGCTCTCGCCAGTTACAGCACTCAACTAACTCGGCCGACCGCCTCTGAAAACCTCATCGCCTTAAATGAGCGGCTGGTCCGACCGGCTACTCAGCAGCCCAAAATAACCCCTGACTCCTTAGACAGACTGTAGGCCAACCGACCAATCCAAATACTAACTGGTCGCTAGACCAAACGACTCCTTGGCCACCCCACCAAGCGACCACCATCTGGTCTCTTGTCCGACCTTGTATCGTCCGTCTCATTCTTCTTCGCCCGACCTCACTTGGTCCGATCTGCGTAATAACCGTCCTTCTTTGCCCGACTTCCTCTTTCGACCGACCTGTGTAATAACCGTCTTTCTTCGCCTGACTTTCTCTTTCGACCGACCGCCGTATCAGCCGTCCTTCTTCACCCGACTTCCTCTTTTGCCGACCTCCGTATCAGCCGTCCTTCGTCCGACCTCAGTTGGTCCGACCGCGGGCCAACCGACTGCGGACCATCCGACAGCGAACCAACCGACCGGCTCTGTTTGCCTTATCTCCGTAGATGGACAACTGGTTCAACAGACTATCCTCTTGACAGACCTCCACGTCTGTCGATACTTCTTCTTTGCCCGACCTTCGTCTTGACAGACCTCCACATTTGCCGATACTTCTTCTTTGCCCGACCTTCGTCTTAATAGACCTCCGCGTCTGCCGATCTTTTCCTGTCCGGGGCTCCGCACCTGACCTTATCATATCTGAGCTCCGCACCCGACCTTATCATTCCTGAGCTCCGCACCCGACCTTATCATTCCTGAGCTCCGCACCCGACCTTATCATACCTGGGCTCCGCACACGACCTTATCATCTCTGCCTTCTCCTGAGGAAGGCTTTTCCTTAACAGCGTCTGGAGTTATGTTCGGACTCTCTTTTTTGAAATCCCATTGTTTTTTGTGTGCTCAACAATAATATATATAATAATATAATAATAATAATAATAATAACAATGGATGATGACGAAGATATAATAATTATAATAATAGTAACGTTAATAATAATAATATAATATAATATATATAATAATATAATTATATATATATATAAACAAATAAGCAATCCCATTTGTGAAGAAAAGAAAGGCAGAAGCCGACGTCCGTAGGAGAAAGAAAAGAGGAGAAAGAAAGAAGGAAGAGGAGAAAGAAAGAAGGAAAAGAAGAAAAGAAGAAAGAAAAAGATTTAGCCGTTCGATTTCGATTCCGACTTCCGTATTTTATTTCTTGTTATACGTAGAATTTAATTATGGATTTTAATATGAATTTAGATATTGAAGATATTAAATTAGAAATTCGTCAAAAAATTCATAACCGGCTATTTGGCTATTTAATCGACTAAGTTCTTTAGCTAATAGCCTATTCGTAGTCCTAGCATTATATTCTGAGAATTTTGTATCGATCCGAGCCGAATTGAAGACGGTAGTATACTGCACCTGCCTGTTTATTCATATATTTAAGTATTATTATTTAATAATCGGGCGATATAAATATTAGTTGCATGCGATTCTGATTAATATGCTAATGTGATATTATGTGAATCATTTTTTCAGTGCATGTATATATTTATATATGTGTGTGCGTATGCATGTGGGAGACTTCACGGTTTTATGATATTTGATATACGTATTTGATCGAGTGGATGAATTTATGAAAAGAAGGATATGTGAGCTGTCTCACCAGCCCTTTTCAATAAATTCACTTATTTGACATGCTGCGCACATATTGTACGGTTTATCGGATATGTTTTATGGATCTATCGTCTAGTCACTTTGTACGGTAGTGCTAGGCGAGGGCATCATCTGAGGTTAGGATATTCGACCCCGATGTACCGTAACACTTTGGCGATAGTGGACGATAGTAGTTGGACAACTGGGTGACTTAGTCGCATGGTCATTCAGGGATTAGACCCATTGTAGTTGAGACGTATTTGGTCTAATCATTAGTGTTCGGTGTTGTTCCACTCATTGGGCTGGCCACTGGTGAGGTCTACCGATAGTTTAGGATCATATGCCAAACTCCAAACGTGATCCTGTTAGGGCGCGCGAGGAGGAGTAAAGTTTTCGGGTTTCCCTTGGGTGATTCCAGATTGCACGAATTCTACTACATTACACGGGATAGGGTTAGTCTGGGGGTCCTATCTTCGCTATGACAGACTATGGGGCATCTTGTGGTTAATGGCGACAACGTTTGGCTATCCATGTATTGATTGTGGGAGTTGTATGGTGGGTATATAGGAGTGACCGGATGACCGTTATATTATTATGGGTTTATCAGGTCCTTCATTGAGCCGAGGATTTTCCGGCTATTTATTGATTATGGTCTAGTGAGCTTGTTATTGCGGGGCCGAGGGTATTCCGGCTGCTCACTTAGACAGATGCAGTGAGCCTATTATTATGGAGTCGAGGTTATTTTGGCTGCTCACTTCGGCGGATGTATATATATATGTGCATGTGCATTGTTGTCAAGTTTGATATCTGTATTGCATCATTTCACTATTGGCATGACATGACACGTATTTTATGATTAACGGGAATTAAACTTTATTTTAAAAAGGTATGAAATGACATATTTCACGTAATTCTTAAAATGGATTTAAATCTAGACTGCTTTTAAGAAAATATTTGTTTCAGGTATGCATGGCACATCCGAGACAGGGGACGTCTCGGGATATAGAAAGACGGGCTGAGTGAGTGAACTTACATCTATTGTATTATATGTAAATTTTTAACCGGAAAAACCTCTTCTTTAGGAGTGTGTTTTGTAAAATATTCATAAATCAGATTTTTTATATATAATAATGTGCTTTTATGGTTAATTTTAGTCTTAACACTGTATTGTGGGGCCCGAAGTAGGAGATGACGACCTCATGATGCAGTGTGACGGTAGCATTTCCAGTATGAGCCAACTAGGGGTGTTACAGTTATCATTTCTCGAATATGATCATTGTGCGCTTGTACAACTTCAAATCAAATGTTGTATTCGTTCTCCTTCTTTAGGGCACTACCGAGAGAAGTAGTTTTTGTATTGATAGAATTGTGTGGCTTTTTCAATTCGATGTGCTCATCCAACAACTCACTTCGTCAGTTGGAGAAGTTACAGGAAATGGTAGCTTTGACTCTCTGCCATCTAGAGAAGTTATTTCCTCCGTAATTTTTTGACGTGATGGAGCATCTCCCAATTCACTTGGTGGAAGAGGCAATGATTGCCGGACTTGTGCATTATAGGTGGATGTATCCTATTGAACGTATTTACCTACTCTTAAGAGGTATGTCCGCAACCGTGCACACAGCCAGAGGGGTCCATTGCATGCGGATACCTCTCGGAGAAGTGTACGTCATTTTATTCAAAGTATCTTGGTGATGTCGAGACAAAGAGAACCGAGGCCCGCGACATGATGACCAGGGGTGCAAAACTGGCCGTGGTGTTGGTGGGATGCGTTGTAACCTTGATTTTATCTCATTGCAACAAATTCACGGGTACATATTAGGCAATTCGGAAGCTATTGAGCCAGCAAGAAGGTACTTTTATTTACTCTACGAAAATATTCCTATTGTGCGCATAGTGAATACTTAGATTAACTTCAACCATCTACTACTAGGACTCATCTTGAAAGCATAAGAAGGACACGGCCACGTGCAAGTCCCCGGGAAGTGCAACAGATTCATACAGAACAATTTCCAGGCTGGTTTCAAAATTATGTCCGTGTTCATTTTCACTCCATTCTCACTTTGAGAAATAAAGCCTATCAACGATGCGTAAACATAACTTATTTGTGCGCTTAGGTAGAAGAACCAACACACATTGTCGAGGGGATGGTTACTGATTATATAAAGACATTAGCACGCGGACCCAACCGTCATGCAACAAGGTACACTTCATGCATAGTTGGAGATTTGCGCTTTAGAGTCAAATCAATAGACGATGGGAAAAAGATTCGGTGTGCCGGAGTGATGTTCAATGCGGATACTATGAGTTTTGCCAGTGCAAGAGACGTTAACCCATGTTCAAGCACCGTTGCATATTACGGTATGGTGACCAACATTGTAGAGGTGTAGTACAACAACGAGAATAAACACTGTCTATTCAAATGCGATTGGGTGGACCCAGAGAGGGGCGTGAAAGAAGACAAATTTAGGTACAAGTTAGTAAACTTCCCGCATTTGATGTACACAAAAAATCTTCCCACGGATGAACCATTATGTCTAGCTACACAAGCAAGACAAGTTTGGTACATCGATGATCCAATTGATGGAGCATGGAGTGTCGTTGTGCCAATGGTAAAGAGAGATAACTACGATGTTTACACGATGATTGATGACAGATTCAATAATAGGTTCCCCTTAGATGATGGGTATTGTTCTGGGGAATCCCGTGACTATTGGGTGGGAGAGGGCGTAAAAGGTACGATAGTAGAAGGAGAGCAGCTAGGGAATGTATCCGTTGGTATACAAAGCCACCTTGGCGATCCTCAGACGAGGACACCGATGGGGCTCCGATTTAGCGGAGATGAGTCGGTGTAGTAATTTGGCTTCACTTTTGGGTTCTTATATACTTTTTTACTTTTGGAAAAAATGAACGGACTTGGAAAGTGAAAACATTACTATAGTAGTCTTTACTTACGGCTGACGATTTTGAATTAAATAAGGTAAATAGAATCATTCACACTTAATATATTCTCGGCCTAGTAAGTGTAGTTCCTATGAAATAGTTATCTTATCATTCTACATTTGTTGTTGAAAGCATGATGTTCCTAATTTATTTATACATTCTTGCATATATGTTGCTAACAGAAAATTTGAATTATTTCCCTTTAGGTAATGGCAAGAACCAACCGTGAAAGGCAATCTGTATTGCAAGAGGTTGGAGGTCACCACTCCGACGGGTCACAAGAGCCTTAGCACGCAGCAGCCCCAAGACAACCAATCATCCGGAGGTTAGTGCACCCTCTCCACCGAAGCAAGTTGGTCCTAAACGGATGACCACTAGACGCAAGGGTGCCCATGTCTCACCTCTTTTGGACCACTTAAAATCAATTGCCGAAGAGTGGGAGAGAGAGTGGGATGCTTGGACGGCAGTAAGGGCAGATGCATCCTCCGTTCGACGCCCTTTACTGCAGGACTCACAAGAGCCAGAGCAGGTAATATTGATTGTCAGATACGCCTAATAAATTCCTTGCCTTGCTACAATGATACATCGAAACTCCTAACACCGCATAAGTAAAATATTGTAGACGGTGATCGGCGATGTGATTGATGATGATACGATAGGTCCTACGCAGGGGATGGAAACAACTGGGCCCATTACATTGGGAATAAACCATGCACCGGTGGCTGAAACCGATGGTCCTCCGGAAATGGATAAAGATGATTTCACCCAGAGAGATGAACCAGCTAAGATGAAAGGTAGCATATTACAATATATATGATTTCTAGTACTCACTAACAAGGTAAGTGTTGAAGCATAGGAATACTAACTTAATATTCAAATATATTCGTAGGTCCAATGACAGAAACTAAGAGGGGGCGGGGAGTGGCTAAGATGCCTCGTGGATGGGGTGGGGACACCCCAATGACTGTGTTTATGGTCAGGAATGGCAGAAGCATCATCGGGCCAGATGTGAAGGATTACAAAAGTGGAGTTTGAGTCATCGCCAGAAATGGGATGCGTCTTCCATTACGGTATTCAAGTTTCCAAGCAATTCCCGAACAGTTGCGGGAAGGTGCATGGATTGAGATACGTGTAAGTTTTATAGAATAAAGATGAGAAACTCTTATATTAAACCTCTGTTTACTATACATGCTTCCTTGAGTAGAGCAAGCTTACATATTAACACTTTATATTATCTTAGGACAATTGTAGGCTTCCGGATTCGGCAGAGAAGGTTGTTATGGGTGACCTGAAGGATGTCTGGTGCCATTGGAAATGCATCATCAAGTCTACATACTTCGCACCACATCAGAATGACGACGAAGCATTAAAGAAAGTCCCCACCGATCGGATTGTCGCTGAAGAATGGCCGTTGCTTGTCCAATATTGGAAGGATGAAAAGGTTAAGGCAAGTTACATCTATTCCTTCATCTTTTTATGCTCTTCCCATGCTACCTATACTACTCCAATTCATATGGGTCGATGTTCGCAGGATATTGCACGGAGAAATACCAATAATTCCATAAAAAGAAAGTTTCCGCACAGGACTGGCCGGAAACCATTCACAACGTTGGCGGATGAGGTCTTCATTCTCTTCTTTGTGCAATAATTTAATCAACAACTATGACTCTCCATTTCTTATGTGTAAGTGAAGTAAACTACCGGTTTCTTATTTGGCTAACTCTTAGATAAAGGCAACAGGGAAAGAGCCTGATAATTTGGAAATTTGGATGTCGTCTCGCACGAAAAGACGTGGTGGTGATGATGAGATGACTGATGATATTTTGGTATGCAAACCTATCTCACCTTTTGTTAAATGGAATTTTAGTACTTCTTATCATCATAGTTTTTATTTGTTTGAAATTGTGTAGGCTTATTTGAATGATAAACTTAATAAAATTCCTGTTGATAAAAGAACCCCGGCGGCTCGTGAGGCTTTGTACCGCCGTGCACTCGGGGGGGAAAAGGAATAGAAAAATAGTTGTTGATAGTGCTGCTAGCTCTGCCTCCCCCTGAAGTCATTTGACTGGAGGGCCTGATGGTCCTGATCTCCGAAAGCTTGCTGAGGACTATCAGAAAGACCTTGTTGAGATTAGGGAATTTATGTCTGAATTTAGGAGTGCCCGCGCTAAGATGTCTAAAATTAGAACCATCCGTGCTGAGATGTCTGCTTTATTGAATTCTTCCCCGCGTGCCTCGATACGGGGCCTGTAAGAATGCATATCTCGTGTATTAATTGGTTTTACATTGTACCATTTGGGGCGAGTCATGTCATTTCATACTCACCTGTCTTGCAGTGCTCTAGCCTCACAGATGGAAGGTCACTGACGCCGGGGACTAATGTCCTTAACCCGTTGACGGTTAGTAATTTTTCGTTGCTAATTTTATTTGTATTTGTTAACTGAATCACCCTTTAGATAATAACATCCACTACTAACACATCACCACCACCTTCAAGAACATGCATGTAGATTATATGATTGACATATGATAATGTTTTTCATGTAGATCGGGTCTCGTATTCTTCTCATATCTCGTGGCTTGGAAAAACACGTTGTTGGTGAGGGGGTGTTGCTATCCGATCCTACCCCAGGTTTATTGTCAACCTAGTTATATTTTCTATATGAAATCGGTTTTTGTTGCAGCCATTTTGAGTAAAACATATTTTATGGTTAATAGTGAGTCAGAATAGTAATACATGATATGGTGACAATGCTATTTATGTGGAACTGTAATTGGGTGGTTGTTTGCTCTGTATAACCTTGTTGGATAGCATATAAATCTATAATTAAATATTTTTGTAGGCTGGTGGGTAAATTGATTTTTTTTTCCCCAAACCACTTTGATTTTTGATCTAATATATGTGTTAGGTATTTGGATACATTAACACTCAATTAATTGTTGTTTTTAAATTGGTACATGTTTAAGTTGGTTGTTTAAACAAACAACTTTCACATGTATCAAATAAATTGATCACGTTGCTAGTTGTTTTATACTTGTGGGGTTGTACAGATGTTGGTCCGGAAGTCATCAAGATAGGATCCATGCTATAATTATACTTATACTAATCTATGTTTTACAATTTTGATTACGCTGTTGTATGGATGGCTAAATTAGGCGATTATCTCCGACCTTTTCTCTTACGTATGCTATAATGTTTTAGTTAATATCTTTAATATTTTATATTGATTAAATATTTCATGAGTTTTATTTTCTTTCCGATGATTTGCACATGTTTTCTTTATATGTCCGTAGGTGACACTGTTGACATAGTAAGGGTTTTTGTTACAACTGCTACTGTTCCGGAGGCTGAGCTTATTCTACGGACAACATCTGGAGCACAAACACTCGGTGAGGTTGTCCGCGGCGAACCAATCGACTGGACATTCAAAGATGTACGCAACCACATTTACAAGATTTTCTATTGGATTACAACTTAACCATCTCACAAATAAATTCTTATATAATTTTACACAATGTTGGCAGTTTGTTTGTCGCCCGTAACTACGGTGTACGGCCACTTTGACGCTGCATGGGACGTTGCAGCATGGCACGTAGTTCTATGATGATTGACTTTTGTTTGTGGATTGATGCTAACTGAGTCCTTTATGTTGGTTGAACTTGCTGTCTCTGCTACATTTTGTGTGTTTGTTGCTACGCTTTGCCATATATGTTAGGCTATGTTGCGAAATATTTATGTTTCTACACAGTGCATACTTGCTACAACTCATGGTGATACAGAATTGCCGTAATATTTCCATATTTTGTAATGTCATTTGGAAGTATTTTCTCACAGTGTACAGGTTTTTCGGTCCGAAACCAATTTTTTTAGTTATTATTTAAAAGATAAGGGAACTTTTTTCGATACAAAAAAATTGGTCGTTACAAATACTGGTACAAAAAATATTAACTAGGTTTTTTAAAACCAACTATTATAACGAAATTACTACCGTAACAAAAGCTGTTACAAGTGGATGAACATTTATTGTAACGATTCTTTTATAACAGTAAATGTCGGTTACAAATAAATCGAAAGTACAATAATAGCGTTACAAACACTGTTACAATAAATGCGTTAACCGCCCGTTTTTTGTTGCGAAAAAAGTCGGTACATAGACCTTTTGTAACTCGAGTATATGCATCGGTCAAAATCCGGTACAAAATCGTTACAAATAACTTTTTGTACCAAAATCTAGAAGGTAGTATATTTTAAATAAACCTCAATAAATATAGACTTAAATAGATATAAATAGATATAGAAAATTATAGAGAACTAATCAAAATTCTAATAAGAATTAATATATAAATTCTACATGTATTGTTAAAATGTTATATATTTTTGAAAAAAATCAAATTAGATGGTCAATTTTAAATCAAATTATCCATTATTTTTTCTATAAAGTATGCAAATGAATCAATTGATATAAAATTCAAATAATTAAATATTATGTAGTTAAAAAAAATAAATTTATTATAAATTATATATTATAAAATTTTAAGTTAAAAAATTCAATAAATTAAAAAAAATAATTGAAAAAAGCAAAAATAAAATATAGAACTAAAAAAAGAGAGAAGAAAAAAAAATAGTTTGTCTAATATAATAAAAAAAAATACAAGGAAAAAAATATATTAAATAACAACCACCCAATAACATTTGTAAGCTTATATTACTCAAATAATTGTCTAGGAACAGAGCCAACATTTTTTAAAAGAACTACTATCTTGCTGGAGGTGATCTCCCGTGAAATAAAATATAAATATTAATTCATTGTATTGTCGCTGAAATTTGTTGACGATGGTCCAAAGGGTTTAGGCCAGTCAAAAATAGACAATTATTGGATTTTCTGTCCTACTAAAAAAGTATCCGGGCCTAGTATTGCGATAAAAACTGATACATGAACAAATCCGGATGAGATCGATTATAATAAAAAATATGAAACTGAACGAATATGAAAAGATCGAAGAAAATTATATTCTACGGATGAAAAAAAATGATACAAAATAAATTTGAAATTTAACTTTAAAGGGTTCAAAGTTGGAAAACAAAAAGTGAAAGAAAATAATGCATTGCAACAAAGACAAAATAGGAACAAGAAAATATAGGAATAAAACAAAGGGAAAAAAAAACAATATAGAAGTGAATTGTGGTGTTGAACAGACTCATTTTCTTCTCCTTTTTGCCATTCTTTTATATTGTATGTCTTGTCCTTATCCCTTAATGTTACAAACTATTTTACCCACTTTTCTTATTGTGCTCATTTTAAATCCACATTATTTTTTCCCCAAGTTTGTACACTTAAATTTTGGAACTACTCCTACTACTCATCTGGACTAGTTTTGTTCATTGGATTTGTTATTATGCTTTTATCCGGACTGGACTGCTTCTCGTTCGGGCCGGTGTTGTGGAGCTTTGGGTATGTTATTGGTTCATCTGGACTGTGCAAAATGTATGATAATGGTATATGAAACTGATTAATTATTTATTAATTATTGTAAATATCAGTGTTGTTGTTCCAGTGAATTGACTAAAAAATATTCATGTGGATGAATGATAAAAATTGATGGTCAAAAGTGCAACTAACAAATTATACTCCCTCCGTCCCATAAATATAGTCTTAATTGTGTTAGGCACGAGATTTAAAGAATATTGATATTAAAATGGTAGTTGGTAAAAAATATGGATAAAAAACTTTTTTGTCCTTGTGAATGTATTAGTGTAAAAAATAATGGTAATTGTGTAATAAAAATGAAAAAATAAGAGTAGGTTTATGGTGATATGATTATTTATGGAAATAAGACTATTGTTTTGAGACGGAAAAAAATGGTAAACAAGACTATTGTTTTGGGACGGAAAAAAATGGTAAACAAGACTATTGTATTGAGAGGGAGTGAGTATATTTTTAGCACTTTTTTATTTATTCCTATTAGTTGATTATTTTGTTTAGTAAAAAAAAAAAAAAATACTTTCTCACTACAAAAAAAATAATATATTTGTAACGGAATTTCGTCCCTAAAGTTCACGTAGCTAACATAATTTCATTCCTAATTCCGTCTCTAATGTCATTAGTAATGGAAAAAGTAGATTTAAAGATACAAAAAATTTTGTTACAAAAATGATTTTTTCTTGTAGTGTCTGTTTCGCCATGGATGATTTTTTTTTTAATTTTTCTCCATCCCACAAAAGATGACTCGTTTATATTTTTGGTAACGATAAATAAATAAATACATTTGCTTATATGATATGTTATACTACCTCCTACATAATATTTTAAATAAAAAAATATGATATGTTATACTCTCTCTGTCCGAGAAAAATAAGTGTGTTTTATTATTTTTGTTTATCCCAAACAATAATCTTATTAACATAAATAATGAGATTACCATAAAATTATCATTAACTTTTTTATTATATTATATAAATGTCACTAGTTTTGACACTTAGATTAAAACATACTCATAAGAATAATTTTTTTTTTCCCATTACTTTCTAACAAATATTAATATTCTTTACATCTCCTTTTAAAAAAAAAAAGTGTTATTCTTTAGAAACAGTATATTTTATTAAATAGGATTATTATTATTATTATTAGTGTAATTTATATACAAGAAAATATCATTTTTGTAACGAAATTTTTCCGTCTTTAAATTCACTTTTTCCGTTACTAATGATATTAGAGACGGAATTAATGATGGAATTACGTTAGCTACATGATATTTAGTGACGGAATTCCGTTACAAATATACTATTTTTTTTTGTAGTGATAACTCCTCGTATTTTAGTAAAAATGTATAAAATATTATGTATTTTATTTATTATGTGAAACTATTTTCTGTTAATAAAAAGTTTACACGAAATACTATTTTCGTCTAAAATTGATACTTTATTATAAATGTGAACCCAATAATGCAAGTTTTATACAAATAAAAGAGATAAAATATTTTAAACAATTTTTTTCGAATAAATAAATAATTTAATTAATTAAATAATATTCCATTTTATTAGTTTTTTAAGACAAATTGTTATCTGATTTTTAAAAAAATTATAAATAAATTATTAATCAATTATTTATTTATTTATTTTATTCAAAAATATATATTTAATAATTTTATTTTTTTTATTTGTATAAAACTTGCATAATTTTGGTATTTATTTAGACTCAAACATCATCGTTGGATAATGAGAGTGTTTTATGCAAACTTTAAATTTAATATAAAGGATTTTCACGCAATAAATAAAACACAATATATTTTGTGTATTTTTACTAAAATACAAATGTTATATAATTTACCCTTGTTATTATAAACAAAGATAAACATAAAATATAGACCATTGCAAAAGGTGTAGAATGAAATAAATCAACTTAAATACACTAGTTTATTTATAGTGATAAATTGCATTTTTATCTTTATCTTGGGAATCCGCAACTATTATTTTTTTAGTACATTCTAAGAGTAGATTTGTTTTGGAGTTTGGATTTTGAAGTGAGATTGAATAGTAAAAATTTTGAAGTATAATATTTATATGATTTGATATAAATATGTATTTATGTGATGTTTTGAATATAAAATTAATTTTGTATAATATAAAAATGAAAAATAGATGTTTGATTTGATATTTTTGGGGGTAAATATATTTGAATAATAGAATTTTAGAAAAATTCAATAAACGAACACACCCTAAGTAAATTTTCGACTGAACTTATAATAGCCTAGTGATGAATTGCATTTTCATCTCATGATAAATTGGTAATGGCTTAATTGATGATATTAATGTTGCTAAATTACTATCGATAGTTAAGAAAAAAATAAATAAATAAAGACCAAAATAATTATCCCTTGTAGCGATAATATAATATGATCACATGATCGTGCAAGAATGAACATTATCATCGCTAAAATGATAGGTTATCCGATCATCTATGGTCGCATAAGGAAGTTGAGGGAAGTAGCCGTGCACGCTTTCATTGTAGCCATGTGTGTAGTAATTATACGATGACGTAAAGTTGGACTCCTCCAAATATTGAGAAGCATAAGGATAATACTCGGCATCATATGGGAATGGCCAAAATTCGGCCTTTCTTCCCGTTCTTCTCACCACTTTCAAAACTCGCGTTTTCTCTATGTATCCGGTCACCGTCACTTTTTGCTTCTCCATGTCGATATCCAAGCTATCCACACCTACAAATATAGACTATCATGTTTCATTACAATCATATGGATTAATTATGTGAAGCATAGATTAAAACCCTAATTTTTAACATCATATAAGACTTCTATTCTCTTTTGAGGGTTTTTTTTTTTTTAAGTGCAACTATATTTACTTATTATTATTTTTTACAAGTTTCTTTTTCATTCATAATTTTTATCTTTAAAAAATATCAAACAAATTTATTTTTTTGTTTTTACGTTATAATAAAAAAAAAATTTAATTAAAATATCATTCAATATTTATTTATATTACATTAAATAATTATATTAATTTTAAAAAATTATTATTCAAAACTAAATCCAACTACAAAGCTGACAAACAAACACACCCATGGTTCTCTATTTAAAAAAAAAAAAAAAGTATTATTAATTTTTTTTACATACAAAGCATCACATCGTTACTATTTTTTAAACCAAAAGTCAATAGTAAACCAAATATAAACCAAAACATACCTAAAGCATTGGATCAACGTAATGTTTTAAATGAAATTGTGTCTTTTTCTTTTCAATCTAAATTGAGTTTTGAGGTTTGAGTTATTTATTAAAAGTGATATTTGATGTGATATTTTGAAAAAAATATATATTTTTCAAAAACATATATAATCCAATTAGTAAAATCCAGTATAGAAATTGAAATGAAACAAATGTCTCAAATAAATAATATCATTTTATGTAATATATTAGAGAAAAAATAAGTATTGGCGTATTTAAAAAAACAAATAATTCTTTTATAAATAGTGCCAAAAATAAAGTTGAGAATAAAACTAAATAAATCGTTAGCATTCTCTCTTATAGCGTAGAGAGTAATATTTTATCTTGGTTATTGAAATCAGGCAAGTGATTAAACTTCATTAGGGTTTTCGAGCTTGTTTAAATTATATTTGACGTCGAAGATGACGATATAGACATACACACGCATTTGTATGCATTCATATATATATATATATGCATATGTATTGTAAATGTCTTGCCATGCAATCGAGAGATAGCTCTCCGAATCCTTTTCTCGCATCCTTCACAATCCATATGAACAAGAAGCTCCACGATCTGCGGGTTCCCACGTTATCAAAAAAAAAAAAAAAAAAAAAAAAAAGCTCCACGATCTGCGCATTGAAATAATTAAATACGAACAAATTGAACAAACACAACCCGAAAGCTTCAAAGAAGAGAAAGGGCTCCATACATTGACAGCATTCGATGCATCAACCTTCTTGAAACGACGACCAAACATTCTGCACAACGGCGCTAATCGAAGAAAGCCCTTAACTCACAAGTTGGAATTAATTAGGGACTCTTCTAATGTGTATATAGTAACTCATATATATATATATATATATATAAAAACAAAAATGAATATTGACGATAATCTGGTTTAGATGCGGATTGAATTAGTTAGAATATTTGAGACAAGTTGAAGGCTGTCTACTTTGATCCCCCCAATACATGTTGCAATGGGAATCACACATATACCTTTATCATTTGCTTCAAATAATTCCAAACAAGTTGACCATATGATAGATATGAATGATGTATAAATTCTTGGTGGAATTTAATTTGTGTAATAAATAAATTAAGGGGATTGATTCCATTTTCCTACGTGGTCTTATCACAATGTTTGTTTGGGAATTTTGGAATAGGGAAATAGATAAATAATCAAAAGGAACAAAATGGATAATCGAATGAATTGTATAAAGAAATACTTTTTCAAAAATTATAATTTGTCTTTACTCTAGATTATATTTATTTATTCCCTCCTATATCCAAAATTATATGATTTCGCATGAATTTTAATAAAAATGAGTAAAAATAACTACTTTTTGTTTTACAATAGAAAAGTTCAATTGTCGTATTTTTATTACTGAAAAAAAAAAAGAATACTATTTTAGGATAAATTGTTTAAAAAAAGTATTAATTTGAATAACAGACAAAGTATAAGATAATCTAACGGGCTTTGAAGAATGTAAATCTCTTATGGAACCTTATAGCCGGAAAACTAGGCCCAAACAAGGCAAATCCAAATCATATATAGCAGACAACACCCAGAGGCGTTGGGAGTTCAAAAGTTCATCTCCCACCACCATCAGGTCATACCTAATAATCATTAGTTTTTTTCTTTTTTTTATGACGTTGGAATCCGTAGCCGTTACCCGAAAGTGCGCACTGAATAAAATTTCAGCCGAACCTAATAATCATTAGTTTTTTTTTTTAGTTATTTGTAATGCAAGCTTCAAGTGCCTCTACGAATTCTATATGGGTTATTATTATTAATATTATTGTGTAAGAATTTAGGAAGACATGGCTTTAAACCTTCAATATCTCCCGTGTCTTATCCATACATATGGTTCACTTAGTGTGACTTGTCTTGTGAATCTAATTTGTAAATTATTAGGTTCGATCGAAAATTTATTCAAAGTATACTTAAAGAAAAAACGACTGCAGATTTCTACGTCATTAAAAAAATAGGGAAGATGATATTGATATGGACCAAATGGCACCGAATCCCTTATCCGGAAAAGCTTCCTCTCGCCCCGGCGACTGGTGGAGGCCTTCAAAGTGAGCCGGAAATAATAATGTTATCATGATTATTTTCAATCCATAATTATTTGCGTCACATTTTGTCCTATTAAGATTGCTAATTTTAGTTTGAATATAGCATAGTATAATTTTCATATATATATATATATATATATATTTAATGATTTTATAAGTGTAACAGAAAATTTTGGCATAAGTGAAGAAAAGTTGTTAATATTTTAAAAATATCTTCAATTGAAAATAAAAAAATATAATCTTACTACAAGATATTATACTCACGAGCAGAGCTTATTCCATATTTATAAATATGTTGTTGGCATGCAATATATTCTTGAAATTAGGGAGTGGAATAGGGACTTATTACAACATTTTTTTTATATAAATATAAAATTAATTACACAGAGGGGTATATTTGGAGATTCATTATGTAAGGTCTTTTTCATAAAAATATAATATTTTTTTCTCATAAAATAATATAAAAATACTATTATTTAAATCAAAATTTAAATTAGCACTTTATTTCAAATTAATTCTTGTTATTTTTTTTTTTTCAAAAATATTTATAATTTTCCAAAAGAATGAATTCATTAAAATTTTTAAAAATATAAAAATCAAGAATCAGTATAGTCCATCGAATTTATACCATTCAACAGTAGTGCTCAGGAACTTTTATATCGGTAGATTAACATATATTTATTTGATCAAAAAACAAATATCCTTGTGATTTTCATATTGACCTTTATTATGCTAATTTGACCTACAACAACACATGATAATATAATATATAATTATAATATAATAATATAGTGTATAGTATAATTTCATACCTAAAATATTATTGATTTCAATAAACTAAATATATTTATGATACAACATATAGTGTTGAGATGATTATCATTTTTTGTGTACAAAAATATGTAGTATATACTTTTATAAAATTAAAAGTATTTTAATATTTAGATATAATTATTTTTATTATAATTGAATATCTACTTTTGAATGAAATATATAAAAATAATAAAAGAAAAATTACATTATATTTGGAATAGAATGAATATAATACTCTCTCCATTAGGTAAAAATACTTCATTTTGTCTGAGATTGAAAAGGTGAGGAAAAAAATAGTTGGAAGATATATTTTAAAATTTAGTTCATAATCAAAGATGATAAAAACAAAAAATATAATAAAAAAATGACAATAGTGGTAAATAAATATTAAATTCAAAGTAATAATTAAATGTTGAAAATTTAATTTTTTTAAAATTAACAATAGGTTAAATATAATAAATAATAATAAAAAAAACGTGTAAATTTGACGGGACTCTACCTAGGATTTCCAAAGGGTTAAAGACAGCCCCCTGACCTCATGTATGCATAAACAAACAGGCACTACAGGTTTACCCAGCACTTTCCGACAGCTCAGCGAGTTTTCACGTCATTAAAAAAAAAAAAAAAAAAAAAAAAAACTGAAAAAGAACAGGCACTGCTCTTCTCCAATGACAGTATACCAGAAGTTTATATTTAACATAGTGCAGTGCAACAGAAAATCCCTTTACAATGAAATGAATCTTGTTCAAAGGCATTACAAGGCAATGCAGAACAATATAGGAGAGAAAAACATCACAGATTATTTACCAGAAGTCGATTCCATTGTTTGCATTGCAGGGGCTGTCACCTGCACTAAATTCAAACCCGAATTTGAATCTCGAAACCTCTCGCGGATTTCTCTGTATTCTTGACATATCGCACAGAGATGACAGAAGAAATGGGTGACGAAATCTCCACACGGTGCTTCCTGGAACAAAAGAATTCATCAAGATAGGCGGATAGCATTTATAGCTTGGTCCGATCAGTTAAGAAATACAATGCAACAAGAAATGCGGATCATGACTTTCATGACCGTATATTATAGAATCGTAGATAACCAAAGCTACTTCCAAATCATACAATGTATTGATCTTTCTCTACAGATATGGTTTGTTTTAGCAGCTCATAAAAATTAGCGGCGCATAGCATATTACAAGAGCTAAGCACCACAATAAGAGGACGGTCTGTGCTGATTTACATGATAATTACAATAATATGTGTCGTGTGAATTATACTATGTATTGTGCTATCTTAACATGTGTCATATGCCGCGATCAAATATGTTTTGTCAAAATTTGTGTTATGTTAACATGCAATACTGGACTTAAATGAAATTAATTACGGCATGTGTCGTATAGATTTTTACCACGTGTTGATTGCAACTAACCAGCACAATACTGATTAACCCTAACCAGCACCTTAATTGTAACCACCACAATACATATTTTGTGTATATATATATGAAGGTAAACAATGAAGATGTACAAGAAATGGAATGCAAACATGGTGGTTAACAATTAGAGGATCTAATGAACATAACCATTGCACATTATTTATCGTTTACCAAGAACTCATGCCCAACAAATTGTTTTCAAATTCATCATCACATCAAAACAATGTTGCTTCGGAAGGGAAGCATTAGTAGCTAATTCGACATGTTGTTATATCATTTCAAACTCACGTGAGTTAGTTCTAAGCGCACAGTGTACATCAGGTAAAGAAGTAATGAATATGAAGAAAGAAATTAATAAACAGAAACTTGGGATATAACAGTGCAGGGCACACTGTTGTGATGTCCCATTCGAATATACAGCTTAATCCATAAAATCAATGTCGAGCAGAAACCCAACCATAGAGATTAGGTCCACAACTACCATTAAAAAAATTTTCAAACTTGTATATAGTATGATGATACATACGCACACCTCAGATAGCCTAACAGTGTATTTGATTCATTATTCAATTCCCGGTGGTGTACAAGAGATGGAAAGGTGCAATCCCCAAATTCAGTAACACAGATCCACACTGCTGCTTGATCGAAACTAAAACCCATACCATACAATGACCATATAAGTTACTGTGCACAGATGGCTTTGCAGAATTCATGGTAAAGTCTCAATATTACTACTACTACTACTACGAAAACTAATGCAAATTGCTGCTAATTGAAGCTGCTGTTCAATGTAAATCAAATACAAATGCCAATTGTGCAACAACCGAACCACTATGAAATCAACTAAAATTCTCTTAATATACAAATTGTCTCCAATTAGTAGAGATAAATAGCGTAGAGATGGAAATGGAGAACTGCAAGCATCTAAGACTTTGTTTAATTTGATGATTGATTATTAATATTTATGCTGTAAACTTGTAGAATAATCGATCAAAGTAAACAAGGCCTAAGGGAATATGAATTAGATTTTTTTTCCTTTTTGATGTTAACATTGGAGTCCTACAGAAAATATGTTTATCACACAAGCATAAGGAAAAAAAAAAGGGAACACATACCGGCAAATTGTACTTCGTCCTTAATGTTCTCCGGTAACCACATGCGTAGAATGCAGCAAAGCATCCAGGTATACCCAATGTAAAGCCCTCGGTAAATAAACAGCAAAAGGTATTAAGAAAGGCCCACAAGATAAAATGCATCGCACAAGATCCCACTAGAGTTCCAGAGCCTAAAGACTCTGCATTTTTTGCAAAAAGATAGCAAGGACAAAATAATCCAACATAACCTGCAGGAGAAAGCGTCCCTTAGGCAGTATATAATGTAAAAGTGTGAATCATTTGTATGCTAAGAATATATTATGGAGGAATAATCATCACTTGGGAGCACAAAGCATGTGAATTATGTCAAAAACACTATTTTCCATCTTCAAAATAATCGATAAAGTTAATACTTGATGCACAATTAACCCGGGGTCGGATACTACTTCAAAATTCATGGAATTAAATCAGCATATGTTGTATGAATTATTACCCGTATACTCTTAGTTTATACCATACATTTTTACTGTGTTAATATACACTTGTGTTGGGATCAATCACAACATATATTGCGTGTGGATTATTATCATGTCCTGTCATTTTATACCTCATTTTCTAATTAGAATTAATCAGCATCTTAACAGCCGTCCAATTAACACCACCCACTTAGAATGGTTAATCTTTTGTGAGATTGTTTGAGAAAGTTCTAACACATTTCACTACATAAGTCTACCACCCAACACATAATTTAACTACCCACAAAGACTAAAATAGAGGACGCTCATCAAATTTATCTAGAGCTACTAAAAATACGGCACCTTTCATTTACTTTTTCGTCAAAAAAAGGGCACCTTTTCATTTACTTTTTTTGCTTCTGATAAATCAAGATCACAGAACAAAGAGTAGCATACAGCTCTGCATATCATCAAAACAAGCACAGATTCCTGAAGACCACTGCTCTGGCCTAATGTTCAGTGCTGTAGATGTCGCGTCTGCAGGGGATTGTGCTGCATCCGTTTCTGCATCGGACTGCCCCAGGGGCATATAAGGTGGCGGTGTATATGTTATATGGCCCACCATTAATTCTTTCAAGTAAAAAGGACTAACACTTTTAACAAGTGTAAAATACTTGAGGAACAAACTGCAACAATAATATCAAAAAAAATCAAATCAGAACTGATTTTCATTCAAAACTATCACAAGGCAAAGCATCTCTACATTTGTTAAGCATGCGTTCGTCTAGTACACAATCGTTGCAATTAATAAAACAGTAGGAGAGATCATGCATCTGAAAACGTACACCTTTATACATTCTACCATACAAATATTCTTGAAACCTAATCAAGTAGAGAGCGATTTTTAAGTTTTTAAAACAACCCCCAAATTAATATGTTGAGCAAAATTTTATATGAAATGCTACATTTTGAGCAATATAATTTCCTTGAAAACATGAGATGGTAGCTGTCAACAACACAACTAAATAGGCTCCGTTTGGTTGGATGGATTTGGATTTGAAGGTAGATTTTAAATGAATTGATTTGAATTACTTCGAATTTGAAATACTTCATAATTAAAATCCATCTTTTTAGTTACAGAGGGAATGGATTGAAAATTTACAACAAGCTTTGAAAATTTGAAATCCATTGCATAGCCAAATGAAACTAATGAATTTGATCGTCATTTGAAATATCTTCAATCCAAATCCCTCCAACCTAATGATGATAATATATTGTATTACAAATATTGATGCCACTGTGCTTAATACAATTAAGCCACGGTTACCATCGTAGAAAAGCATTATTGATGGATTAAATCTGTTAGAATTTTTGGGGAAAATCATTTCCTCCATTGCAAGATTATAGCAAAAATGAAATAAAAATGAAAATACAATAAATAAAACGCTCATCGAAGCAACAGATTCAATCTTCGAACAATACTTAGATTTCAAATCCAACCAAAAAACTTGAGAAATTAAACTCCAAGTAAACTCAAGATCACTTAGATTTGAAATAAAGCTAGAGGCAACAACAACCAAAAAAAAAAAAACCTAAAACTAAAACCTCGCCTAAATATACCACAGCACAATGAACTGCCTTCCTTCAAGAATTGTAGAGCACAAAGTGAATGAAATCTGAATCGCGTCCAGATTTCTGGATTATTCAAGAAGTACGGAATGGGCACCGACCTGCTACCGTGATCCCTTGAAAGTTGAAACTGTTGACAAGACCCTAAACTTCTCCAAATTAGTTATAAACTCCCGAAAGCGCTTTTTTGTTTCTGTTTTATTTATTTATTTGATGATGCCAACAATAACATAAAATCGTGCGTACTAATGAAGAGTCGCGTTTTGCTATATAAAACCCATTCCCATAATGGTAACACGTTTTTTGTGTAAGAAATTGGGGTGCAAATATCATAGGTAAATTGCTTATAATTCATTCGTCTTTGTAAAAAGTCGATTTCAAAACTTACACAAAAGTTTCATTGTATTTTAAGATATGCTGTACAATTTTTTTTATTATACAAGATTTCCTTATATTTATACAAAATATTGTATAAAATTCCCTAAAAAAAATTTGGTGTAGCAATAATTTTTGAATTAAAAAGTGGTACAGACTTTTCAGACCGATTGAATAATTTTTGTCAATACAATAACATGGTCTAAAATATCGTTGTCTTGTGGGGGTGTTTTTTTTTTTCTCTTTGAGTTTAGACACAGCATTGAGATTTTTATTGTAAAATTTAAAATTTAAATATAAAAAATAAATTTGACCTATCAAAACTAGTTAATAGGACAAATTAATTCACAATTCATCAGAATCTGCAAATAACACTTATTTGCGGGTCAATCTGCGATGAAACGGACTAAAATTTAGTTAGTCAAATCCACCGGCAGATGGCGAGTTAAACGAGCTACCTTACGGAGATTTTAAAAATATAAATATTTCAAATATTTTTTATAATTAATATCCAAAAAATAGTTTTATAGTAAATTTAAATAATAAATATTTTACAATAAATAACTAGTGTAAAAAATTTAAAATTTAAAATATTATTAATCGGTGTATTTAAAAAACGTTAATAATAGCAAATATTTTTAAAATATAAATCATAATTAATTTTCCAGTCAACAAGTTCTAAAATAAGAAAATTATAAAACAATAAAATGGAAAACAAATAAAACAAACGATGAAAAATTAAAACAAATAAGATTGTGATATTAATAAAAGAGTTAGAGAAAAACAATTACGATGGAGACAAAATTGGTTAATTGGTTTAGACTAATGATAATAGTAGAAAAATATACATTTAATTAAAACGAGTGAATACTACTTATTATTTTTACTAAGCTTACAAGCTAATCCGCCCGACTGTAGACTAATCCACTCACAATCCATGGCCTGTGTGGCTTGGCTCATTTAGGCCCGTATTTTGACAAGCTTAAAAATTTAAAATCCAACTCTCCTTAATTGCTTTTATGTTGTATTTTTAATGGACTAACCCGCCCCCTGCATTGCTTGTATGTTGTTCAAATTTCCACAGTTGCTATAGTCTAGTTTTGAATTTATTGTATGGTTGTTTTTAGATGTCATGGGATGTAAAAATGGATTGAATTGAATGCGGAATTTTTGTCCATTCTTTTGATTGGTTGCTCTTAAGGTAGTACAATTGCTCAACTCTATTTTTTTGTGTTTCTTGCAAGAGATTTATGGTGATTGCTGATGTACATTTTGTGCAAATAGTTCTACGTTTACAAGTTGTGGTTTTCGTTGTCTACGATGGGTTTCTTGAAAGGTAACTCAATGAGATACTATCTGATCTACGTTATTACGAGTAGGCAAAAAAATACCTAGCATTATGCATTTGTAGCACAAAAGACGAGTTGTCGTATGCTATGAGATTTGTTAGTGTGGTTTGTTGGAATATGGTGAAAATTCCTCAAATTATTACGAATTATAAGAAGAAGTTTTCTGAGGGTCTCTCTATTCTGTTTCTTCTGACATGGATATCAAGGTAATGAACATATCCAATCATGTTTTTGTGATATATGTTGGTTTATTTTCTACATAACTTTATATAGTATTAAAGTTTATTTCTGTTAGATTACTAATAGAACTTTCTAAAATGTAGTGATTCTAACTTATGTAAAAGCTCTTTTTTCAGTAGTCAACCGTATTTTGCTAAATTGTTTCTTTCTCCTCGATTTTTTATGTAGAGATCTTTTCAATATTTTTTTATTATTTTTTAGAACTTGCAAATGTAAGTATTTCATACGGCTATAATTGCATGTCTTTCCAAATGATATATGTTTAATATTTAATTGTTAATTTTTTAACTAGGAGTACCATAATCCAATCCATAACTTCTTTGTTTAGTGAGATGCCAATATAACTCGGTTTTCTTTTTCTTTTTTATTGGATGTTGCCATGTATTTACTTCTGAGTTACAAATGAGTAAGAAATGAAATTTATTTTATAAACAAATATTCCTTTGTCTCGTGGTATTTCAGTTTACAGGATTACATTATTTTGGGACAAAAAACTTTACCTGTGAAATTTGATTTTATGTTTTACTATTCCAATTTTTTTGCCTCCCAAAAATATCAAAGCAAACACCTATTTTTTATCTATTTATTATACTAAAATTAAATTTTACATTCAAAATATCACATCAATATATATTACATTAAACAACTATTTCAACTCAAAATTTTACTATTCAAAATCAAAACTCAAATTTCATAAGTAAACACGCCAAAAATATATTTGAAATGTTTGCTTTTGTAGTAAACATTTTGATGTATTAACTCATGTTTCACTTTACAGCTTCCAACACAATACTATATGGCATTGATATGAATGTCGTGTCAGGTTTAGTTTATTGCTTTTTGTTATTCACTTTATGAGCCATAAATTTTTATTATTTGTCATTATATACAATTACTACCTTGACTCTTGTTGTACAAGTTGTATACTATAGACACATTTATCCATGATTTAAAAAAAAAAAAAAAAAAAACATCAAAAGTTTTAAACTATGATATTTGTTTAATTATATGCTTTTTTTTTTTTTTGTTAATCTGATAAATTCTTATATTTCTACATTCTCTAATGAATTTGAAGTCCGTATGAGTTTTGATTAAAATATGTTTTATGTAACTGTTAGATTATAGATACATTGAAATTTCAACTAAAGAAATTATATACTAATTCTTTAATTTAAAAACTAAACTTAATAACTTTTTTCTCATAATAGAATAATTGTAGATTGTACATGCACTCAAGTCAAAAATACTTTTTAATAATATAGTTGTTAACAAGTCAAATCGAATAGAATTCTAAGTATTTGTGTTCGTCAATAATGTTTGTAAACATGATTCGCGTTCGTTCGTTAAGCATTCGAGCTTGATTGGATATGTATAATATTTATTTTATTTTTCAATTTATATGTTTATCAATTTTTAATTAATAATTTCATATACATATTTTAACGAACATTTGAAAATCAGGCTAGGGCTCGTTTGTTAACATAACGACACTGTTATATTGTTCAGCTCAGCTTGTTTACGTTCACAATCGAGCACAAGCCAAATTCATGAACGACTTGGTTCGTTTAACAAATTTACTTGTAAAACATTATTGTGTCTATTTTAGTTTCATGTCATATATCAGAACAATTTCACATCATAAACGATCATTTCAAATGTTAATTTATGATATTTTATCTTATCATGAATTGAAATTCGAAGGAAGTTGTGGAAAAAACAATAGAGACTCGCCATGGAGTTGATGCCCAAGATAACCTTAATATAACGAGGAAGACTATTGTCCAAAGCTCACCTATTCCTCTCCCATTAAGTTCTTCCAACCATAGTGATCTATCTATGTTTAATGTCAACAATTCTCTCTTTTACTCCTAGATTGCATATTATGTTGTTTGATAGCACAAATGTCCATTACACATCACAATCTATGTTAGTCCAAAAGGGTTATTTTACTACAGTGAAACTCCACTTTAATATAAATTACATAATTCAATTTGATTTCAACATATATAGGTGTCATTTGTTACCACTCCGTCGCATAAGATTATACACCAGAGATTTTCTTGACTGTCATTTTCCATTTGACAAGTTATGACCATCTTGTTATTTTCATGCAAGTAGATCTCGTTTTTGTTACAAGTGAGCCATGATTGATATGAAAATGTGAATTGCTGATGTTTTAATAATACAATGATATAAAACTATAGGTGTCATGGAATCTATTTCTTTTTTCTTTCTCCAAAGTCATTGTTTCATGACATTGAGGTGTATTTTTCATGTCTTCAAGATCTCTTTCAGTAAGTTGTACGTCTACTCTCAGGTCTTTCCCATCTTCAAGAACTCCTACTACCAACGGTGAGAATAATCTGTTTAAAGAACCATTTCTTGAAAATACTCAACTAAGACAATCTGCTCCTTAAAAAATATAAAGACCACTCTCTGTGTGGTGAGTACCTTATAATATCTATTAAGGCTGGCTCCAATTAGAATTTGGAATGAGCTTTTAATGTTTTCATTTCCCCTTAACATTCTTGCATCCCAGGTTTCTTTGATGACATTTTTCTTTGGCGGTTGTAACTACAAAGTAGCAACAAGTAACAAAAATTACATGATTTCTAATATTCCAATAAAAGGGGTTGTGTTGCAAGTAAGAAGAAAACTTCTAGAGGTGAAGTTTATTTAAGGCTCATGACAATTTTTTATTGGTACAATTTTAAACTCTACTATCTGATGCATTACATTTGCTTTCATTGTTAGCCCTCAAATTTGTTTAATTATACAATTGAAGCATGTTTGAATCCTTTCGTGACAGATACATTTATAATTGCATTCATTCGTAAAATCACCCTGACGACTAGAACTTCAGCACATAAAGATGTTGCTATAGAAAGCAGATCAATCCTGGGTTAGGGAATGACAATCATTTACTTGGGTGGACATCTTCCTCAAATTCGCTTAAATGTAACTAGCAAAATGAGGTTTTATATATTTTCCAATTAAAATTTATAATCTACTTAAAAATGATCTCATTCTTACAGTAAAATTGTCCCTAGTTCCAAAGCAAAAACTATGCATTTGTTTTCATACACAAGATCTATTTTTTCTCTAGATGGTTAGTAAGACATTGAAAGATTTTGTTAAATCATATTGTACCATCAAGTATTTCTTATTTTAAACTTCTGGAAGCCTGATTT